TACACCCCTTTGTTCCTACCGCCCTACCAATTCAGTCGCTACAACACTCCATCCACGAAGATGCTATGCCGTGAATCGGACTTCACGCTAGAAAAGATCCGGAAAAGAACAGGACACGGGCAAAGTAAGCATTGATGTTTTGTCCGATTGAAATAACTAGTGGAACTCTGTGACATCTGAATTTCCCCTTTTTTTCTTTTCAGAATTCTATCACAGAATAAATTAGAGCCTTATTCGCTGCGGATAAAGGGGCGTGTCAGGTGGGATGGGATTGGCGTGGTACCACCTGTTGTTGAAACGAACAAGATTAGATTGTATCATATTCGTTCGTATCAGTCGTTTCGCCGAATATTGTCGGTTACCCGTTTCAACAGCCGATGGAGAACGGGTTTGGTGCCGCGCCAAGTACCTCTCGCTTTACCACGCCCCTTAATCCGCAGCTAACACGACTGTAAGTGAGAATTGACTCAACATCTTCACTCCTCATTCTGTCTTTCTATTAATAAACTAACCGGTTCAAAACCATGGCAACTCTTTCTCGATAATAGTGTTTTTAAGAGCTATATGTTCATTTTATTGAAGATCTACGACTTGAACGAAAGGCGCTATCAGTGACCGTGCAAGCTAACGATCCGTTCCCGGTTGCTCCGACTGAGGAAGCTGTTCTTGATGCAGATTTTAGGTACGATTTTTTATAACGTTTGAAAGGAATGTTTACACAATGTTTGGATTTTAATTGTAACTGGAGCTAGAACTCATGCCGCTTGCGCTATTGCGCTTTTTGAAAAATCTTGGTGGAGCAGGCTTTTTTCCAAAAAAAAACACCACTTTTGGGAAGTTGAGGAAGAATCTTGAAGTACTAAGTAGAATTTGAGGGAAAAATCTTGAAGTACTAACAAGGGAGGTCGTTCAGGGCGTGGTGCGCTTTTCGAAAACGGTTTGTTGCATATTGTAGGGGCTCACGCAAGGACCTGAAAAGTGTGCTTCATTTTCGCTGCGCGCTTCCAGGAACGGTAAAAAACGAGTGAAAAGAAATCTTTGAATCTGCTTCGCTCTGGGCCTCTTTACGGCGTAGGTCACTTGCAACTTTGACCAGTTGCTGAGTGGGGGGTCCTTATAAAGGGGCTATTTGAATCGAAGCGAAAAATCGCCGCAAGTGAGCTTCCAACTTGGGTCATGTGCTCAAGGGTGAACGGCTTCTTGCAGTGGTTTCATCAACGATAAGAGCGCTTCGCAGAGTCGAGCCTCGGATGGCCTAGTGGATAGAGTGAAAGGTATTTTCGCATTACGGACAGTGAGGGGGGGTTGATGGTTCGGCTCCCCTTGCGTCGTGGCTTTTTGCATTTTTTAGATTTCGCTGTTCTCGCTTCCATTTCTGTCTGCGCATGAATATAACTCGGATATTTGCCATTTATGGGCACATTCTGAGTAGCTATACCACATGAGTCAGTGCTATTCAACTATTTCGATTTTCACGCACCATTGAACAAGATTGTTGCTGGACGTTGATCCTCATAGGCTATACAGTGAATCTGATTGCGAATTTAGTAATCTGGTGTGGTGCGATTATTGACAATTTAGGGTCACATCTTCTTTCCACTTAATTCGTTATGTACACCAATATAGGGGACGTTCAGTGCTATTCTGTTGCCAATTTGCGTGGACGCCAAGAATAGGTGTTATATTTGTGATCAGGGCCACTGATTACCACTAAAAACGAATTTTTGGTTAAAACAATTGTTTTGACCTTCTTGGGTTTGCTTATTGGGTTGTCCGGTGAGCGCGCAACGATTAGCGTCATCGGCTGTCGAAGGTGTGAGACTCCGCTCACCACTGCCGACGCAATAAGATGGATCGGCCACCTACAAACCCGAAAAAGTCAAAAAAAATTTTTTCGCTGAAAACTTGTTCCTAGGGGTAATCGACAGTCCTGATCACGATTCTCAGACTTTATTTTCGGTTTCAGTGCCATCTGGCACCGGTATAGGAGCTGAGTCTGTGCATACTAACGAATTCGAACGAAAAAGCAGTTTTGCTCCATAAAAGTAGGATTGTTCAGTTTATCGTGAATGTTTTTGTTAGGACCAATTATTTAGACAAACATGGATCCAAAAAATGAAAAATTGTAGAAAAGCAAAATTTTGTCCTCGGTGGGATCCGAACCATCGACCTATTTTTTACGTTTTTTTTTTATTCGTAGAAGCGCGCAGCGAAAATGAACCTCAGTTTTCTGGTCCTCGTATGTGCCTACAATTATGGGACAACAACATGTTTCGAAAAGCTCACCACGCACCTGAACACCTCCATGTGTAAGTAGAATTCCGATTATGTAACGTTTTAGGTGTAAAAATGAGGAGCCGCACAGAATGTTGGCTGCACTATTTCGAGAGCGCCCGATGTGGACTAGAAATGCCATCGCTTACAAAACAGGTCTAGACGAGAACCTGCTCAAGTTCGTTTTTGTTTTTCAACATCAAAAAGCAACTGCGATCAAAACCGTACCGCTTTCAACCTTTGTCCAAAATTTGGCTCCTTTGCGCACCCTTGTAGTGCGATTTTATTGTAACGCGGCTAATTTTTAATAATTCGTAATTCCTTTCCAATCCACGTTGACAGTTGATTTCCGAAGCCCTCTGAGCTATTGGCGCGGTTAGAGATTGTAACGGGAACTCAATCCCGTGCTGACGATTACTACATTGAGCAGCGAGGGTATTGGCTAAATGGCAGTACTGCCTACTGGCGCAGTTTGCAGTTTGTCGACGGGGGGGCATTTTGCACTTTTGCTACTTCCCATCGACGTGTCGGCCTATCTAGACAGCCTCTTCTCGAGTTGACAGGTTTTAACATGATGGCTTGACTACCTTGTTCCAGCTTCACAAGAGTTCACAGGTTTCGCCAGAGTGAGACATGTAAACCGGAACTGAGGAAGCAATGATAGTGCAAAATGCCCCCTCCCCGTCGACAAACAGCGCTCTGCCTACAAACAGTTTTACCCCGCCAAGCGCGTTCTGGTCTTCGGGTCATGGTTGGCACGCAGTCATGGAAAACATAGTTCCAAATACTCTCTCCTCATTTCGATGTATCACAGAAAATTTCTGAAGCTAAACATCTGGTCGTACTTTTAGGACCTTATTACAAAAGTATGCATTCTACATCCAGTCGGGACCTTGGGGTCGGCTTTGGTGCAAGTTTGGTTACGATCCTCGTACTGATCCGGAGTCAATGCTATATCAAACCCTGATGGTTTCTTTCAGGTAAATTTGCAATTTTTTATGTATCTATCAGTTAGCTGCAAACTTATGCGTTTTCTGAACGTGGCATATGAGGCACGAAGGCAAAGCGTTAAGGTCAGCGACACTCCAAATATATTTTTCTCTGAACTGTGGCCCGTATGTTACTACCCCACCTGGTTATTTACCTGATACTCTTTTTAATCCCTTAGTTTTCCATTCGTCTTGTTTCGATGGCACTCTTATTGTTCCTATTGGCTCTCCAACATTCAGCTCTCCAACGTCTCTGTGGCGGTCTCGTTCATACTGTTGCATACTGTTCCTTTTTTTCATACAAATTGTAGATCCTGAAATAACAACATAGGCGGTTGCATGGAATTAATATCTCTCTCT